GTTATTTGTGATAAAGAAAACAAACTGAGCCGTTCCGTAACCTGTTCTTTCCTTTTCAGTAATCGTAAATTGACCAAGGAATGGTACTGTGACGTCTGTGGGATTTACCTACGATCGATCGATCGTATTTTGGGAGGAGATGAGGCAGTGACGTGCATAAAATGCAGAGGAAGGGTCTGCAGAAGAAAATGTTCGAGCCTCAACGAGCAGCGATCAGGTTGGACCTGCAAGAACTGTCTGAGACCGCCAGAGTCTTGGTTTCGAGGGATACTTAATGCGATTCATCCAGCGAAAAAAGGTGAAAAGTGTATATTTTTTGTATGTTATACGTTGAAGGTGGTTTTACCACGCAAACTTTTTATAATTCACTTCTTAAGGTCTCTGCCCACTATACCGTACCAACCATGGCCGTGCTAGGACCGTATCAGACACGGAAAATAACACGACACGGTCTACCTTGCCCACTGTAATGGATCAACCGTGTTCTAAGCCCGTAAGCAACACGTATAATGACCATATCATACGGGTATCATGACCGTTAGATACCCCTGTGACAACTGTAAGTAATGTGAAGTATTTTCCGACTTACTCATCAGTGCAGTGTGAACGTATAGAAGAGTTTACCACGAAGAACGAATATGGCTATGAGATTATCTGCTCGACAATTGGCATTGGTAGCTATTAATTTGGACGATGAAGAAGCAGAAACTCAAAAAAAGACCCGACGCTATTCGCTATTGGATTCACAACTCTTCAAGATAACGGGAAAGTGAAGGAGAATATGGGACATTATTTAGACATTTAGTTGATGATGAAGAAAAATTGCTTCAGTATTTTCGAATGTCTACATTTCAGTGGAATGTATTGCTGAATAAAACTGAAAATGATTACAATCCATTTATACACTGTTTTGCTGCCGGAGACTTACGGTTTAGCAACGTTACGTGCCATGCACATTGCGTATCAGCACCGGCAAAATATTCTCGACTCGAATACTGTGATGGCACGTGCATGATACGCTACGTGGCGGACCGGAACGGTCTAGTGGGGTTGTTTCATATAAATTGTACGGAAGAATATTTTTTTTAGCATGTGCCGGTAGGTTCACGGTATAGTGGGAATAGTGGAGTATAGTGGGGAGAGACCTTTATTGTTGGGTAACCATTATATTACTGGCATCACAATACTAACTGAACAGATCATGTGTCATGCTTTTACAGTTACTTGAATCCTAGTGACTATCTGACGTGATAAATTCATTACATAAAATATTTACCTTTCTAGAAAAAACACAGTGAACTGGAGAATACTCAATACAAGTTTCACCTGAGACACCTTTTTACCTACTTTAAGCATCTATCCTAATTACTAATTACCTCATTGCGAACTAAAATCGATAAAGGGGAACAATTCAAATCTATCTGATCATTGAGCAATAATCAATAGTGAGTTTTTTACCGTTCTCCTCCAAATGCAATACGTCATAATCATGAATGAACTCGTGCCCCTTTCTCAAAATATGGTTGAGTTGTTGAATCGGTCTTCTCAATTTACAAAAATTACTTTTATGGTCTTTTTTCCTTTTGCAGAAAGTTTTTTCGGTTTGACCAACATAAAATTTAGGACAAGAACCACAAGTCAACTCATATACCCGATCTATTCGATCTATTCGACACTAGAGTTTTTTCATTATTGTTTTCAATGAAATTACTGAAGTTATTATTTGTTCTGTAGACTACGTCCAATTGTTTGTTTTTTAAAAAAACGAGCGGTGTATGATCACCAAAGTAAGTTAGAGTCACATAATGACATCATTCTTCGAAACTGAATACACCCCGGTTAAGAGCTTGTTTTTGAAATTTTTTTGAAAGAATTGGGTAAATAATATTCACCTCGTTAACATTGTGGAGAGCAAATTCTGTATGTCTGTCTGTGATGGTTATTAGTAATTCTAGTGATGGTCAAGTCTGGAAAGAGTTATTCACCTTCATCTCGGTTGTTCCTTTGATCGAAAGGTGGATGGAATTAACAAATTCGATAAACGTACCCAGCTGCAGGTTTCTACCAGTAAAACGGACTAAGATATCATCTACATATCTGTAGCATTAAAAAAATGTTAATTAGACTATTGGTATGGATATTGTACTCTGGGTTGTTTTTGACGTTACCCACCATGTAGTACGTATTATTTATACTGAATCGTAGTTTCAAATTATTGTAGGAATGATTGAATTTTAATGAGCATTTCCGAAACTTTCACGTATGTAGCACTTAGAAATGAGACCACCAGTCTGATTCGCAAATTTGTTTTACGTAATTTAGAGGAAATAAAGTTTGGGTTTTTGGGAATTTATGCCAACTGCCCTGCGTTTGTTAATTTCACTCACTACCACCTCTATTGACTTAAGGGTTTCTTCAACCTCTCTCTGGTGAAGGGTTGTTGGATCATTCGTTTATATAGGTGAGTGGGAAAGTTGGGATTCAAATAACTTCCGAATACTACTTACTCACATATATACAATAAATCGCTTCAAAACCACTTCACTAAATTTTTTCGAAAGCTCCTGATAATGCCTCTTTCATATTCTCTATTTCACTATCACTGTCGTCATTTAAATCAATAATGACTTCATTTCCACCATTGATATGGAAGTGTCCAATCTCCATATAGTCTTTTTCAACTAAAATAACTTTTTTGATCCTTTTCTGCTAATCTTCTCTATTAATATTAGATACTTCTTCTTTAATTAGCTCTATTACCTTATCAAATTTTGGAAAATTATTTTTACGCCTGATGCTTTGTTTCAATTTCCCCCAAATCAACTCGATGGGATTGAAAACACAAAAATAGGGGGGAGTCTCAGTATGGTTTGTCCATACTTTTAAGCAATATTCTCAAGGGCATACACTTTTTCGAATGTTTCTGTCTGTAAAACTTTAAGTTGTTGGTTTTTGGTATAGTAATCTTCAAAATACAAATTGTTACCCATTAAAAAACTTTGTATTTCATCTTCCTCGAATTCTTATTCGGTCCTTTAATGAACTGTTGTGAATGGTAAAAAGCATTGTCAAGAACTATTTCACTATTCGTATCCAAATTTGGGTAAATGTGTTTTCAAACTATTCCTCGAAAATATTAGCTTCCATGTTCTTATGATAGTCAACATTGCAGTCCTCAACTTTTTTCCACATCATTTCAAAGAATTCGGGCAGGCATGTTAGGCGTACACACTCTCGAACCACCCTTTCGTAACTGTGTCGTGAGTGTCATACCAAATTTCGTCCAAATAGATAATTTGCCGTTGTTCTTGTCTGTATTTAGTTATTTGTTCTGAGTATTTGTTACGCAATTCCACTTTTCTTCTGATTTCCATAACTGATTGACGTTTGTTTATTATTTAAAATCTAAATCATAGTTTCTTTATCCAATTCTGAAGAGTTTTGTCACAGCAGCTCACGTTATGGCCGGAAGTATTCAATTTCTTCCTTATGATTTCAGTTATTTTGAAAAATGTCTAATTCCGAGGTTTCTCTGACTCCACCGGAGTTAGTAGAAGCAGCGAAAGTAGCGCCACAAAAATTATTGCCAGCTAAATCGCGGAA